CACCCACACCCACACCCACACCCCACCCACACCCACACCCCACCCACACCCACACCCTTAAGGACATTTTGAAGAGATTTAACATATGAAATAAATAAACCAAGTTAAGCTCGTCGAAGCGAGCTAACAAAAGTACACCATTTATTCTTAATATTTAATAGATAAAATAACACTCATAATAAATAAACAAATGAAAAGTAATAGTACAATGATTTTTGTTCGAAGTAACTTGAACCACGATTCTTTTGATTCAAGAGTACCAGATTCTATTTCTTGATAATCCATAGCTTTTTGTGCTTCGATATGTTGAAGTGTCCTTATATCATTATCTGCTTTGTATTTGAATGATAATAATTGCAGATGTTCATCAGTTTTCAGGCTTAATGATGAAGTATCAAGTGAGATATTGTTCTGTGAGGATTTCGCTGACGTCTCGAAACGGATATGTTCAAGTGCAATTTTAGAAATGGCATTTAAATCAAATCGCTGCACAAGTACAAATAGTATCACATCTACGAGTCCCACACCAGCAATCATTCCAAGCCAAAAGCCATAAACATCCATATGAACTAGGAAGGTGAGAACATAAGCCAGTGGTAGTCCCAATAAGTAGAAACCGACAAATAAAACTATTGTTACATACGTTTGCATCCCACTAAAACATATATCGATAGCATTGTATTGTAGAAAATAAACTTGAGTGACTAAATATTTCTCGCTGGAATCGACGTTCTGATCAGTGAAACAATCAATATCAAGATGTTGTGTATTCGATAGCCTTGTTTTTTTCCCTCAATTCATCATAGACTATCGCGTTTGATATATATTTTTTTAAACCGATCAATGTCAAGACAATAACACTTCACCTGCCACTACTCCCCCGGAATCTTGAAAGATGCGCACCACGACACTTATGCACGACAATAATGCGTACGGATCGTTTCCGTATGAGGAAAAGATTGTTGTTATAAACAAATGATTATATTATGGGTGTGGATGTGAGTGTAGCGTCTGAATGTGAGGTTGGGTTGGTATGGGTGTGAGTGTGGGTGTGGGTGTGGGTGGATGTGCGTGTGAATGGAGATCAGAGAATTCTCACGCTCACGCTTGCACCGACACCTACACACCTCACCTCACACTCATTCTTACAGATGTGAACACTAATAAATGCACTTGTATCTATAGAGTAACAACGACTTAAACTTTATTTTTCATGCTTTGTTCACTTATTTAATTGTTATATTTGCGGTTTTGAAAATAAAATAAAAATTTTGTTGTTCTTGGTACTTCTCTATATTTCTATTATCTTTCGGAGCATAAATATGAACTTTTTATTTCGTGTGCAACTTACTTGTGCGCATCTTTCGGCTCGAATTTTTCTTAGTAGGCAACTTTCCTCGCGCAAGTTTCATCGTGCGTAACTCTCCGTGCGCATCTTTCGTAGACTCACTCCTTCTCCCCTCCCCACAGAATAGAACCTCATTCTACAGTAGAAGTCGAGTTTCTAGGTTATTATTACGGACCAGATTAGAAGCCGATTATGTCCAAAATGACTACAATATAAACCGTCTTAAAAATTGAATACATCATTTCATTGCTTCTCAATGTTTAGTTGTAGCTCAGTTTCTGACACCAAGAAGACTAGAATAATAAACAATTTGATTTCTGTTCGGAATCAGTATCAGAACGCTCTATAACAGTTAATCTGTTAACAAAATTTGAGCATAGCCTCGACACTGTAATTGAAATGTATAAACACAGTGTAATTTGGAGCAGTAAAATAATTTTATTATTTTTTTTTTGTTCAGAGATGCTTTAAAAACTGATGATCTGTACAAGATTTAATGGATATAGTGTACTTTTTCAAAATAATCAGCACATTTGAGTGACATAATTTTCATGCATCTATTTATTTATATATGTCTTTCGATGTTTAATCGAGCTACAATATTATTGATGCATTAACAATTAAGTCATGTCAAAAAGATAAGTTAAGTCTATTTTGAATTTTGCATCAATCGTATAGCTTAATTCACTTTGAATCCTTTTAGTGCTATGAGAACTACGTGTCCAATCTGGTTTGTATTGTCTATAGTTTGTATCAAGGAGTAAATGAACTTCTTTCTACGTAAGCATACGTATTAATAGAACATAGCTGTTTAAGAATGATTGAATAGAAATTAGACATGCAATAATACTACCTATTCGATTTCGTTCTCTTATAGGCTTATGCACAATTCAGAAACAAAAAACTGTATATTTTATTAAATGATTAATAATATTAGCAAAGCGTTTAATAAAAAATGAAAATTCTCAACAAGCGAAACCATGACCGGTACCGATTACGCAAAAATTTATTCGACTAAAAAGCAAATGCGATTGTGGCATGATACGATACTGATTATTACAGCACTTATAGGATCTGAACTATCTATCACTCAAAAAATGGTAGACCTTTATTGTGTAATAAAAGGTTTAGTTTATATATCTGTCACAATAATTAAAATATATCTCCTGTCGTATTTCAGCTGGGCATAAACTTCTATGATGAGGCCGCCGGTGGATTCATATTGATATATGTCTAATAGAAATTTCTTTCAAAATCTCTCAAAGCTTGGAAGTTTACCAACTTACTATATTATCTTAAACGCATTTTCTCGTAGCCCATAACAACATGCACGGAATATTTAGGGTCGACAAGCACATGAATGCAAAACATAGTGTAAAGAATGCACTAATTTGTCGATTCGATAGTATGGAACCAGAAAAATCCTGCTAGTCAGTTCTTAGTTTCTAAAAACTTACGGTAGCTACTCCCAAAAGTTATCAGACAGACTGACAATTTCAATTTATAAATTATAAGCCACTTCTGTAATTGTAAGTGAGTGAAGTCTTAGCCGCAACATGAAAAAAGTTGATCTCAATAAAGCCCAATATTAAAATTTATGACTTTTAGAACAAACTAGAAGCCCAGTTTGGGTGTGGGTATGAGGTGTGGGTGTGCGCATGGGTGTGGATGTGGGTGTTGATATTCATTTCACACACACGCGCACGCACATTCACACCCACACCCACACCCACACACGCGCAAGCACATCCACACACACACACCCACACGCCCACAGCCACTCTTCGAGGGGAACTTCTTAAATTTCTGTTCGAAAATTTTTTTCTAATAATCTTTTTTATAAGAACTCTTCTCAATAGCTTGTCATTTCGATGCTGTA